GTCATCAATTAACGTCATAAAATACTTCTTTCCACCTTTTGTCAACACACCATTCATTTCACAAAAATCTGAATGTATGAGCTCTAGTGGTGCAAGATTTCTTATTTCTGTAGTCGTATGAGACTTACGAGGTTGCTTAGCTTGCACACACACTTGACACTTAGATCCCTTGACAGTGATGAAACTAGGGGTTAAGTTCAAATTCGCTAGTCGCGACATGCAACCAAAGTTAACATGACAAAGACGTGAATGCCACACATTTGATTCACTATTGTTGCAAACATGATTACCAACTTTATTGCAAACATCTGATAAGGCTAAACGAAACAGGCCTCCTGACTCATAGCTTTTACCAAAAAAAGTTCCATACTTGGATATTACAAATTTATTCGACTCAAAGACAAGCTTGTAGCCATCTCTACACAGAAGAGATCCGCTAACAAGATTTTTATTGACGGAGGGGACATAATGCACGTTTTTCAGCCACGCGATTTTCCCCGAAGTAAACTTCAGACCGACCGTGCCAACACCACGAATAGAAGCACTTGAACCGTTTCCCATTAGCACAGTTGAAGTCCCTACGGTCTGATAAGACGAAAACATGGAAATATCACCGCATGCATGCACATTAGCACCCGTGTCAATCAACCAATCAGGAGAATAACATACTGAAAGAATAGTGAAAAATATACCATACCCAGCAACCTTCATGTCAGTGTCACCAATGACAGCATTAGCGGTCTTGCCGCCTTTTCCAAGATTAGGGCAACTAGGAGCACAATGGTCAGGATCTCCGCACACATGACAAACACCTTTCTTCGTGTCATTCTTCTTCTTCTTGAAGTTGGTGTGTTGTACAACCTTGTTCTTCCCATCACATGTTGCTTTACCATCAAACTTGCCCTTATTCTTGAACTTGTGGGACTGGAAATTTTTCTTCGGTATCAAATTGGTACTAGATCCTCCCTCAATACCTCGAGCACGTGTGTCTTTTGCTCTCGCCTTTTCTTCCACATCAAGAGTACCAATGAGATCCGGAATGGAAAACTCCTGTCTCTTGTGTTTCAGTAAGGTAGCAAAGTTCCTCCACGAAGGTGGAAGCTTAGTGATGATGCCTCCGGCAACAAACTTGTTTGGTAGCATACAATTGAAGTGCTCAAGTTCTCTAGCAAATGACTGTATCTCGTGAGCTTGCTCAACCACGGAATTATTCCATGATGTACAGCTCCGTGCCGGCATCCGAGACCCCAAACTTGGTCTCGAGTGCATCCCACATATCTTTTTCATTGTCAATTGACGCATAAGCATCAACTATGTTCTCACCAAGAACGCTTAAGAGAGCAGCCTTAAACAAGGTATTCATTTTCTGAAAAGCTTATTCCCGTTGAGCATCATACTCTCCTTCAGGTTTGCCAAGAGCATGCCAACTCATGGTTTGAAACCATAAGACTGCTCTTACACGCCACCTCTTATAGTGAATACCCTCAAACATAGGAAGTCTCATGGAAGCAGCAAAACCACTCGGGGTAAATTGCCTATAATAAGGTTTTTGGATTGTTGGAAATATGAGCAGTTTACCATATGATTTTATTAACAGAAATACTAGATAAAGCATGACTAATATAGCAGAGATCAAGCAAGGCATGCAATCTGACAGAGAGAGGGTAAATAGCATCTGCATATATGAACTAGAACCAAACAAATCTAGAGCAGACACTAAAGCAAGAAAGTGTGGTAGAACTTCAAACAGAGAAAGTATGAACACGTACGTACAACAGGGGAAGCACTGGTCTTGGGGTCGCGGTCCTCGCCAGCCATGTCGTCGAAGAGGTTGTCGATGTCGGGGAAGAAGTCGTCGTCGGGGAAGTAGTCGTCGGAGTCCGAGGCGTCTGTGACGAAAAAGTCAGTAGTCGCGTAGCGCGCTCCCCCAAAACCTTATCACCCTTCTCCCGTACAAGACTCAAAGAGGTGGGTTCCGGAGGCCTACTGTCCCGACCTGCGGTGCATGCTGCAAGCCGGGATGGGGAAGATTGCAGCAGCAACGCAGTGCTCAGGAACTTGGTGGCGAGAGGAAGATGGTCTTCTGATGTGTCTCTCTAAAGAGGAATGACCTCTCTTATATAGGCACAGGAGAAAGAGGCGACGAGAGGTGAAACAACAGATAGAGACGAAGCGAACAGGTGCGCCGTTCGGATTCAATCTCCACTACAGCAAAAACGTTTTAGCTCCCGTGTGACCGTCTGTATATCCGCCGTGCGTGGCAAAAATTTAAACATCGGCTCATTCCCGCAACCCGCGGCGCGTCGTGGCGAGGCGGGTGGAGGAGGAGCGCGCGTGAATGTCTCTCTTATTCTCATGCTCATACATGTGGGGAAACATCCTCCCTTATAACGAGGTCCGACTCCCACCAAACTAGCAATGTGAGACTAAACTTTAGTTCCACCTCTTACCTTGCATGTATGGGCTGCATGGGCCTCCAGGATTTATTAGGAATTTCTGAAACTGCTATTGGGCTGGCCCAAAATAGACAAAATTTCAGCATTTGCCAATGTGTGTTTATCTATCAATGTCATATTTGTAATTCAAATAATCAAGTTCTTGTAGAAAAATAAGTGAGAGAGGACCCTACCGCCAGCAATCACGGCGGTAGGTTCTCACATTTACCGTCGGATGCCTAGCGGTAGGCTGTGAGAACTTACCACATGAAACACCCCATTTGTTGTGACAGACCACTGCCACGCCTGGCACGCCCTACCGCTGCTAGGTGTGGCAGTAGAGTGTGAATACCTACCGCAAAATAGTCTCATTTTCTGTCATAGCAAGCTTGCGCTCACGCAAGCCTAGCACACCCTACCGCCACCCCGGTGACGGTAACTTTAGCTACCCTACCAGGATCTATCCCGGCGATAGTGCAGTTAGGACACGTCAGATCAGAAACGGTTGGTTGATGGGAACTGTCCTTAACTTACCGTCGGGGTCCCGGCGGTAGGAGAAGGGGCAGCTCTAAAAAAATCAAACCGAGGTTAGATCCTGTAAAACTACGTCAAAAAAGTCAAAACACGAAATTTTACCTCCGACTCCGAAATGTCCAGCGAGACGTACTTATACAGTACTAAGCGTTGGATCAACGCACTACTAACTGTCCCTGGCTCGGACACGGCTTGAACGCTCGACCGCAAGACGGCTTGCCATATCAGGTATCCACCATATAAGTCGAGCGTATCCAGGAGAAAGAGCGTATCACCCGATCGAGTCTGCAATCTGCACTAGCAATGGCGTCCCTCGCGTTGATGCCGAGCTGGTTGCGCCGCCGCGCGCACGTCCCGTCCCCGGAGGAAGCGCGCGAGATCGAGAGGAGAAAGAGAAAGGAAGAGTACGATCAGCTGATCGCTTCGCTGAGGCCGCGACCACGCACATGGCGGACTCGCCGGAGGGATCGCCGCGAAGCGCTGGCTAACGAGGCCGCGAAGCGGGAGTGGGTCGAGGAGCAGAAACGGCTGATCGCGGAGGCGAAGCAGCGATCAGGCGGCGTTCCACATCCCTGTTGGAACGATGATGCGCGAGACAGACACAGACGCAGGATGCGGGCGGCAGTGGAGGAACTATCGTCGGCTTTCGAGGCCAAGAAGAGCCAATGGATGGCCGCGCATAAGCGATCGGGGCTCGTGGAAGCTCGGTGGAGCAGCACCGCCGTGAAGGTTCACCCCCTCGCGTCCACGGAGGCGCCTTTGAAGCCCGTAACCGCCGCCGGGAAGAGCAGCGCGGCAGGGGACAGCGAGTCCGGCCGCCGGGTGGAGATGCACGAGGCGAAGGCCATCGAGCAGAAGCACCTGTGGGGAGGCCGCCGCCGCAGCGAGGAGTACTATGCCATGCGCCGGGAGGTACTGAGGAGAGACCGTGCCGCCCTCGACGAGATTACGGAGCCGCAATCTGCATGCGCGACGAGGAAGAAGGAAGAAGATCGTATCTGTCCGTTCTGTTCTCGGCTTCTCGCTGACAGGAGATAGATAGAACGACCGACCATGTTCGGTTCGCAGCTTTGTCCTGCGGTTGTAATCAGAGGTTTCGTGTACCAAGGGAATCAATTCTTCTTAGTTCATCATATCCTACTAAACTTTTGTCCATGGTAATCTTTAGCTTTGTCTTGGATATTTTCACCCTTGTCCTCGATCGTCCGCATGGATATTTTCACAAAACAACTTTTTTCTAGGCCAATAACAAAAAATATAGAATCAACTAAGGATTCAGTGGAAATGAACAGATCAACATACGAGATCGCAAGTGCAGTTGCTGGGCATGTATATGTACTCCCTCCGTAAAGAAATATAAGAGCAATATAAAAGCGTTGACATCACTAATGTCAAGAAACAAGACACCAGCAGTACTTTCGACAAATAAACACACAGCAAACAAGCCGCTGTCATGCGGCACATCGTATGGTAAGTCCAAATTTACACTAACGGGGAACCTCTCCCAGGCGCAGAAGTGCAGAACTCACATTAGACACACAAATCATACGTGCACAAGGTTAACATTGGCCTCTGCAGCCTCTAATTCAGCAGCCTCATAAAATTCACAGAATTTTCAATTCTTCAGTCATATGCCAAACCCTTGCATATACATACGGCGCGAAGTAAACATACCCTAGCAACAGCAACACATCTTAGTGGTCGGGTAACTGCTTTGTTCCTGCTTACTGCTACCAAAATATCAGCGCAGCCGAATTCTTTATCCAGAGTTCTTGCTAGTACTATATCGGCTATGAGACAACATTCCTTCTGGTCACATGCCATAGAAAAATTCTCGATTCTTAGAGAAAACAACTAATCAGAGTTTGATCTGATGCTACAGTGAAACAACTAATCATATGAAACTCCTCATTAGTCACTACTGGCATCTTAACTGCTTGCGCATATTACTTGATCACAGTTGATGTTAGAACACAATGGTGCACTCGATCAAAGGAGGCATGCTGAAGAACTTGCTGCACATGACCACTATCATTTCGACCATTGCCTTTGCTCGGTATCAGCACTAACAAAGTAGACATCCAATTCATCACATAGTTGGACTACACAATCTCTTGGCCCTCCATGTCCTTCCTGGTGAGTGCCGATACTTCCAAATGGGCATTCAATTACCAAGCATGCCCTCATAACAAATGAACATGCCATTGGGGTAGCATAGAAAGGAATGACTCTGGAGCAGCTCTTCATCTTATCATTGCCCTCAAAACAAGACAAGTCTAAGAAGACATGTTGGACGGACTGACCAGCAACCATGCGGAGCCATATTCTATCATGACTAGAGGTATTGCACAGAGACATGTCAAAGGTCACGCCCACGGGTAATCCATAAACGTATGATAACGGATTTTCAGAATCTGTATCCCGGACTTGCAGCACAGCAGTTGTAGCATTAAGCATTTCAAAATCTCTTGCTGGTTTTAGATCAAAGATATCAAGAAAGGTGCAAATGTTGACAATAGGAGTGCCGTCGATAAAGTTACCATCAAACACTTTCTTAACTTCTTTACTGAAGTCGGAAAGCTCATAGGATCCATCGGCACACAGACCATCAATGTGATTAATTATCCAATGCAACTTATCTAGCACTAATTTTGAACATGTTCCAAACTCAGACAGTCTACATAAAATAGCTAACAAAGCAAACTCCAAGACTTGAACCTCCAGTTCTCTATGCAATCCAGCATAACAACATTTCATCCTTCTCACAGATGTATCCAACTTCTCAAGCAAAATATCAAGTGATGTGGGGCCAAAAGCATGAGAATCATCCAACTGAATGAACCACCATATTTCAACAATGAGCTGTACTGCATCAAGATAGTCGCATACAAAGCTCAAGACCGCACTAGTTGATCCAGAAGAATTTACAGCTAAGATATTGACTTCTTCTTTGCATGTTCTATAATAAAGACAATCAAAAGAAGTTGAAGTAATCACAAACAATAGCATGAAAGATTGGTTGCATGGGAAAGAACGGAATATAATAAGTCATACCTCAGAGTACTTTGAACTTTTCCTATACTGCACGGCTTTATCACAGCCCAGGCTCCTTTAACTGTTTCTAATATGAGCCTTGTCGATTGCATTATCACAACTTCATCTAAGTACTTGGTTGTTTTTCCAGCCGTTTCTACCTGTGCATGAGTTCCTCCCACAGTTTCAACGCTGAAACATTCATAATCTCCACCTTCTACAGACACTAACTTCTTTTCCCAAAACTGCATTCCAGCTTGATGATACAAGTAGGATAAGAGTGAATCCTGTTCATCTTCGGCTAGTGCACACGAGATCATCCCAAATAGGGGAATTGCATGTGATAATATAACTGCGGGTATATCCAGTTTTTTGTCTTTATCATCATAAGCAGCCAAGACAGAAACCATTAACAATGCTTTGATTCTAGGTTTATCCAAGATCAGCTCTCCATCAGATGCCATATTGATCTATGTCATAGATAATACAGCATCAAGGGATATAACAAAACTTCATAAAAAATCCAAAAGAAATGTTACTATAAATGTAGCAAATGAAGATATTACTCTACCTACGCATAAAAACAAGTCCGAAGTCCTTGTATGTTAAGAATAACAAAAGGCTAAAGTGAGAAAATATGGTTGGTCAGTGGAATTAATATTCAAATTCTTTTCACCAAATTGTTTGCTTATGCTCATTCCTCAAACAGTTGGGCCTAAGGAGGATAAGCAGGAACTTAAATAAAGCTGATTTTAATATGTTAAAAGTTATTTGCAAACCAAGTGTGTGTGCATGGCATGCTGCTAGGTGTTCTTTTTTGCTATTGGATCTAAAGAGAAGTGAGACTGTACCTCACATACTGAACACACCATCTCAGGTCATAATACCCCTAAAGAGAAAGGAAATTACGTGTGCCAGAAATTATTCAATGATAATGCAGTTGAGAAAGACACATCATGTTAATCTGCAAACTGCTGTCGGCATTTCTTTGAATCAGTAAGATCCCTAAACTAGTAGTGTTGTGATGCATCCTCTGTTCATCTGATTTGGCTCGCACTTCACATTGATTTGTGGCAGTTTGAGCACAGAATAATGTAGGCATGTTCCTCACTGACAACCCTGCCTATTGTTTTAATATATTGTAGGCAATGTGATATCTAGACAGACAAACCATTATGATGTGCAAAAGGTGTATGAGGCTATGAGCAAGCAGCGGTGTGTTTCTCCTTACAAGTAGGCTCTGCTTTAGGCTTTTATTGCATAATAGATATGGATTTGTGATCTATGGTCTTAATTAGAAAAGCATGCTAGCATATGGAAGAATGGATAGTCTATTTGTTGCTCTTACTGATTTGGCTACAAAGAGGAGATCATCTGGAGTGTATCTATCTGCTGTGGACTCAGACACTATCATTATCACCCTACTAACAGATTACCATTTATAGATGATGCTCTATTGGTGATTTTGACTTTTCAAAGGAGTTTCCCTACAAACTCAGTGATTACGTGGCATACATATGCAACTTCTGTTCTGATAGAACTATTTCTCATTTTTCTGTGAATCTACTAGGTACACATCTTGGTTGAACTTCGTGGAATTTTGCAAAATTTGCTTACTGAGTTAGATTGCCCATATCAAGCAAGTTACAGTAATTTATTTGATTTTTTTTACCAATGCTCCATTCTTATAGTATACTAAGATATCCATAGATACTCTTTTCACACACCTTGTGTTCGGTTTATGATATTTGTACTCCACAGAGAAATCTGCATGTCCACGCTTGATATCACCCCCCACCCTGCTGTGACGCTGAGCCACCGATCACGTGGAAGAAGTCAAGAAGAAGGGAGTGAAAGGAGAGACTGGGAGGGGTAGGTTAGAAATGCAAGCCACTTTGATACTTAGATGAAAACATGATGGATTGTTCGCAGACTAATAATTAGCCATCAAAATGGATGTTTCGTTTTGATGCAAACAATGGTTAACATTTGTTTCTTCGTAGAAAGTTTCCTGCAGATTGCAATGCCATTGGTGCCTCTGAAGCTAAATAAATGTACATGAATTGATTTCCATGCTAATGTGAAAATGAGGCATAATCTGCTTACTTTAATGTAGCATGTAGGTCAAAAACAACGTGACTCCTTGATTGGAAGATGTGTCTGTCCAAACTAGTTCCATTACGATGTTATCATAACTTCATTAATACCTACAATTAAAATGTTATCATTATACTTGCGTCTATAAATACATATGGTTTGGTCGTTATTATTTAAATCTCAAAAGTTCTTGGTTCATATCCTGCTTGTTTATAGATACGTGACTCTGTATAGAAGTTGTGTCTATATAACATATATGTCTCCCTATGAAATTTGACCATGTGTTTGAATGGACAAGATCTGGTCTACTAAGATAGTATAAGATGGAACAGAAAGAATCTAATTAACAAAGATGAAAATAATTCCATATCTTCTGCAGTTACTGCAGCCCAATCTTCAAGGGATTATTTTTCCAATGTTTGACTATATTGACATATCATTATCTTCTAATATTTTAATTCGAAAATATTGGTTTCTCTCTCTCGATCAGTAGCTGGATGTAGTGTGCAACCTATGTAATAGATATGCTATGTGCAACCTTTGTGATAGACTTGGCTATTCATGTTCCTACAACTATTACTTTTTCTCATCCAGTTGGTAGAGATACAAAAGACCTATAACATGAGTTGCCATCATGGCTTATACTTAGTACGTGACCATATCCTCGCAAATTTTTGTTTCTTGGCCTTGATGTAAAACTGTAAAAAGTGGCGGGCCAGCCCATGCCCGGTGCAGCTAAAGAGATATTTGGAAAAAGACGACAACCCAAATAAAGAAGATACAATGTTGGAGAAATGGAACACTCTGGTGCACTCTTGAGGAAGGTTTTAAGGGAAGTCAAACAAGAGGAACTATGCTGCTCGCTGCAACAGTATCAAATATCAACCTTCTGAATGATGGAAGACAATGTCTCTTTGACAGCAAGGGGGCCTTTGAGGGGAGGAAGCCTAAGGCTTTGATCTGATGTATTCTACTATTCTCGGAATTTTTGTAGTTGTTTCCATGCTAAACTGTAAGCACCTCTCGTTGTAGAACTCAAGTCTCAGCTCCAATGAAATTTTATCATCTAACGAAAGGAATCTCAGCTGGTGCGATGCCTGCTATACTGTCTACTATGATCTTTATTTTACAAAATAAATGAGCTACCAGGACCGCTCAAACAATCTGCTAACAGTGATCACATGGCAACGCGACCACAAATAATCTGACAGAGTGCGTCAAGCCATGCCTTGGGTATTCTCAAAATCCAAATTTTGGAAAAAACACGTACCATATTGTGGTCTCAAACTGTGGTTTCAGTCTTACTACCTCCGTACAGGTTTATTGGTCCCCTTTGTAATTTGTGTCAAAGTTTGATCAAAGATTTCATTTAACTAATAAAAATGTTAATGCATGTCAACAAAAATTATATCGTTGGATTCGTATTTGAACATAGTTTTCAATGATATAATTTTTTGTGACATGCATGAATATTTTGTTAGTTTAATCTATGGTCAAAATTTGGCACAAAATACAATGGGGACCAATAAACCAGGACGGAGGTGGTACATTGATAGCAGAAAGTCAAAAAATGGGAATACATTCTCAAATGAGGGAGTATACTTCTTTCCCTCACGAAACCTAGAAAAACAAATGGTAAGAACTTATGATAAACTATGTGTAGTCTTCTAAATGTTGTAGACAAGTGTTAGATATCAGCAAACAACTGTAATTACATTATATATTTTCCGGTCTATAAAAACCTGCAGTAACTCAAATTTGTACTCGCCAAACAATGTTATAGATTTTTCTCCTTTTTGTTTTATTGACTTGCACTTTGTTGACTGTTGCCATCTCAGCTGGAGGGGTAACGTTTCACGCACCAGCCGGTTCACCCAAAAGTCCGAACTAATTGAGAAGGTTGGGCGAACCAGGTATACTTCAACAGGAGGTACCATCTTTTGTCACAGGTTTGGGCATCATCGATATGCACTATCAAGCAACCAAACTTTGATGTTCACATCAGTGCAAAGCCCACATAATCAGGTGTATCTTATAGGATAGGTATTACACAGGGCTTCAAACATTTGACTCATGAGGAGAATGTATATTAATATGATCTTCTAAAAATATATATAAATTAAATATGCTCTTTGCCTTCCAGATTCAGTTGTCCTAAATCAAACTGTAAATATGCAACACATCCTTAAAGTTACTTGGCTAAAAAAGAAATCTACAGTTGGGGTTGAGTAGACTTCATCGTTACAAATTACTTAGCAGCCTGCAAATATAGATGCATTCATTGTTATTATTTAAGGTTGATGGATTGGAATATTCTCAAACTCCATACAACTGACAGAAAATAAGAACATGGGTACACCCTACCGAATTGAGATAGTACCTCCTTTCTAGTATATACCGAACTTGAAAGAACTGTGCAAACAGAAAGAATCAGTGCAGCAGCAATACTGAAAGTGAAAACATACATTTATATAGAACATTAGCATGTAGATAAAATTGGAAGTAAGCAATGGAGAAACACCTCTTTGGCTAAATGTTTGGCTATATTGGCTGAAAAGCTCCCATGATTCTTGCCAATGGAAAACAGAACACCATATATATCTTGATCCTGCATATAATAAATATGGTCGCAACATAGAAGAAAAGAGTCAGTTACCACAAAATTGAAGTCATAGGCTCAAAGCCTCAAATAATTATAGAGTAAGCAATATTCTATACACTGAATGAAACTCAAATTAACATTTAGCAGGATAATTGAGGCTTTGTGTTACATTGACTACA